TGCTGGGCAGTGTTTGAATACCCAAAACGAGGCACGCCTGGTGGGGGAGGCAGGCACTGGACAACAGGACCAGCTTCACTCAGATCTGGGATACTAGTGTCATGACCTGCAGTGGTCCCTGAACAGTGGACACTGCCACTGTTCCCATTCTGAAGCCATCATCTGCAACTGCTGTGGGTGCCATCTGAGATGGCATTCTCAGGGGTGTGCTGTGTCTCCTTCTAGGGCACTGTCAAAATAAAAGCAAACAGTAGCTCCATGGCAGAGCACTAGCCAAGCAGGGGCAAGGCCCTGGGTTCAGTCCCCAGGACGACAAGGATGGCGGCTGGCGGATGGAGCAAACAATTCCAGCTCTTCCATCTGGCATGGTAATGGGGCTGAAGCTCCCTCCAAGATCATGAGCAGGGTGTTCACACTTTTAACCTTGTCTTTGCCATCAATGAGTCAGTTGTGAATATTTATTGAGCACCTGCCAGATGCCCTGCTCCACACTAAATCTGGCTGGATTAAGCAGAGGCACTGAGCTCCAGGAGTCCACAAACTAGAAGGGTGGGGAAGAGAAGAAGAGAGGTGGGAACAGCCAGGCAGGCACGGAGGTGGCTGCAGAAGAGTCCAGGCCTGGCTGGGTGGGTGCGTCCCCCAGGCTTCTCACCTGAGTAAGCACCCAGCTCCTACCCAGACTTGGAAAACTGCTTCAGGCCATGTGCTGTCACCTCCTTCCTTTCCCTCAGTGGTTTCCTCTGTTGGATTTGCCCTGCCCAGTTAGACTGGGCTCCAAAGAGCCTCAGTGAGGGGCCACATAAAGCCCACGTTTTTTTTGTTGTTGTTGTTTTTTCTTCAATACTGGGGATTGAACCCAGGACCTCACTGAGCTACTTCCCCAGCCCTTTTTAAGTTTTTATTTTGAGACAGACCTCACTAAGTTGCAGAGGCTGCTCTTGAACTTGGGATCCTCCTGCCTCCAGCCTCCTGAGTAGCTGGGATTACAGGTTGTCACTCATTGGAGCAGCCCAGGGCATTCTTGATGGGTTCCAGAACACATCCGGTTGACCATGCAGGAACCAGCAACTTGCCCTAATCTGAAAGCTCTGGCTGACTCAGGACTCATCAAACCCAGAGACGGTGGACTGAAGGATGGGACCTTGTGGACCAGTGGGACGAGGTGGAGGGGCCAGCTGCTGAGCTATATCTAGGCCTGAAGCTATGCAGAGTCCCTCTCTCCTCATGTGCCCGGTGTGCCAGCTTCAGACTGGGGTTCTCCTGGCAAGGTAGAGGCAGTGCCTACTCAGTGTCCCTGAATGACCCAGCAGGTCGGGCCCGGGCTGGGTCTCAGAGCTGGCACTCCTGGGTCCCTATGCTATGTGGCTGTCAGTCAATAGGAAATGAGTCCCAGGGTAAGAGGAGGTGTTGTGATCCCAAAGCAGGAAGTGACAGTGGAGTGGCCTCCAGCAGTTCTGTGGGGCAGCAGGTGGCTAAAGGAAAAGAAGACACAGTCACAGTGAGAGATTGGCTCTGACCAGGAGGGACCCACAGCCACTGCCCTGTAGTGCTGTGTTGGGGACCTTGTGGTGCCTGGCATAGCTGGACCACAGAAGGTGGCTACTGGGGCAGCAGTGTGTGCCCCTTTCCTGGCTGTGTGGGCAGTATGACTTCCTCACTCATGTGACTGAGCTTGCAGGGTGACAGAATTTACACTAGGGAGGTGCATTCTAGACTGGAGTTGAGAGACAGGCTGGGTCCTGGGCAGGGAGGGACACAGGATGTCGTGCTGCCTAGGCCGTGGACAGGGGTCTGCATGCTCTGCTGTCACTCTATGTCTGGCTGCCCTGCTCTGCTGGCCCGGCCCCTGCCGAGCCCCGAGGAGCCTTCTCTCCTACCAGGTGCTTCTCTTCTGCTTGCTGCAGCCTCCTGGGCTTGCAGCAGCACAGCTTCCTGGGGGCTTCTCTCTTCCCAGAGGCAGGTCTGCCCCAGCTCTCTGAGCAGCTTAGGAAAGAGCTCACCTAGGGAGCCGGGCCAGGGGAGGAGCAGACCTGGGAGGACCCTGGTTTTGCTATTTTTTTTCCAGGCCCTGGCCCCTATTTGCCACCTCTGAGACTTCCTCACCAGATAGCAGTGGGCTCAGAGGCTAAGTCCTAGACCTGCACTGCAGAAGCTGCCATGCAGGGGAGGGGCTGGAGTCACTGCTCTCCTCAAGGCAAGACGACCTTCTCAAGGGAACTTGGCCATTCTCCTCGCACTTAGACAGGCATGCCCTTAACCCTGCCAGTCCACTCCTGGGATTCTGTCCTCAGACACAAACACATTTAAGGAGCCGCAAGTGCCAGGGTGCTCACTGCAGCAGAAAGCAAATGGGCCCAAGTGTCCACCCGGTACACAAATCCTGGATCGCCCATTAAACAGGAGGCAGATCCATAAGCACTGTGTGGAGAAATGCCCACTGTTTATTAAGGGAAAAGTGAGTTGCAAAACATTACAAGTCACACCTTTGATAAAAACATGATTCTGAATCTGGATACACTGTGAATATGTATGGTTAAACGTGTGACTTACACACGACCATAAAAAGTCTAAAAAGGATGCTTGCCCAACTCTTAGTAATGGTTCACCTTGTAGGGAGTGATTGGGGCATGGGGAGTTATATTAGGAGGTTGCTTAACCTCATTCATTTTTTGTGCAGTTTGAATTTTTTTTTTAAAGAGAGAGAGAGGAGAGAGAGAATTTTTTTAATATTTATTTTTCAGTTTTCGGTGGACACAACATCTTTATTTTTTTTATCTTATGTGGTGCTGAGGATCGAACCCAGCGCCCCCGCATGCCAGGCAAGCGCGTTTCCGCTTGAGCCACATCCCTAGCCCCGAAATTTAATAATATATGTCTTTTTATTACTAATTTTTCTCAGTTGATACATAAAAATTATACACATTATGGGTACAGTGGTGCTTGCCTAAAATCTCAGCAACTTTGGAGGCTGAGGTGGGAGGATCACAAATGCAAGGCCAGCCTTGGAAACTAAATGAGGACCTTTCTCAAAATTAAAAATAAAGTCGGGTGTGGTGGCACACGCCTGTAATCCCAACAACTCAAAGGCTGAGGCAGAAGGATTGCAATCTCAAGGTCAGCCTCAGCAATTTAGCGAGACCCTGTTTCAAAAAATAAAAAAGGCTGGGGATGTAACTCAGTGACAGAGCACCTCTGGGTTTAATCCCTGGTATTGCAATTAATTAATTAAAGTAAAATAATACAAAATAAAAAGGGCTGAGGATATAACTCTGTGGTAGAGAACCCCTGAGTCCAGAAAGAAAGTTATACATATTAATGGGGTACCATGTGATATCTCGATAAATGTATATATTATGTTTAAATCAGGTTAAACATACTTCTGTCCTTAAACATTTATCATTTCTTTATGCTAAAAACATACAAAATTCTTTCTTCTTTTTGACACATATGGTACCATATCTATCATCACACTACTGTGCAACTGCACACCATAGCTTCTTACTTCTAACTATAAATTAGTTCCCTTCCATCAACCTATCCCCAGCCAAGTCCCTATCCATGGCCCAGGACTCAGGACTATAATGGGGGGCGGGGAGACTTAAACAAAACTCCCATTGGTTGAGCCTAGTCATCTCACCTCACAGGTGAGGAAACCAATGCACCTGCTGAGAGCAGTGCCTTCCTGGAGGCTTGCTGAGCCCATTCTGCCCCTGGCCTTCTACTTCCTGGCCCCGGGCATCCTGTAATGGAGGGCAGCTGAGTACAACCTGATGCTCAGGAGGGTGGCAGAGCAGTGAGTGCAGGGACCCTGGCCTTTTTCTGCCCCAAGCTGACCACTAGCATTCTTCCCAAGATGTCCTGACCTCTTCCCTTCAGATGGCCGAGGACAGAGCATGCATGCACAGAGCACAAAGGACACTGGCTTTTCTGCACTTGTTCTGTCTTTACAAATTAAGTGACTTTAAAGAAGTCATAAAATTCTCCCAGAGTCTTGGGCTCCTCACCCGCTTCCCAGGAAGACTGAGAGGCTGTAATGGGGCGTGCGAGGGCCATTAGGATGACTCCATACTTGGTTTCTATTAGCTGGAACCTGAGCAAACTCAGTCCTCAGGTTTCATGGGATGAAGCATTGCATTGCCTTTTGAGGGGGCAGTGAGACTCCCATGCTCAGGAGTGGCTGCTGCAAAGGCTGCAGATTGCTTGCTGGGGCCTTGGCTCTCCCAGAACCCATGGGGGCCTAATCTGAGGGGCAGAGAGCTGTACTGGGCTTTGGCCCAGGAAATGCTTCTTTGAGAGGCCTCCTTTGACTCTCAAGCTTTGAGACACCAGGAGGAAAGCTGCGGATGCTCTCACCACAGAAGTCAGGCCAGCCTGGGGTTTCCAGAACTGATCTGGAGGCACTGGAATCTTCTAGGGAAGGGTCCTGGTTTGATGACAAATAACATGAAAAGCCATTTGTTTTGAAAAGGGACTGCAGAGAAGGCTTGGAAGCCCTAGGAACCTTAGTGAATTGGGGTCCACAGGGGTGCCAGCAGGACCAGGCTGGCCAATCTGCTTTGCATCTTACCCTCTATCTCACGCTGGAGTCCACAGACCCCTTAATGTGGGGGTCAGGACACAGACCCTCTGATGTCGAAAGCAAACAATGTGTCTGCTTGTCAGTTCTTGGACTGAGGGTGCATAACTTCCACCAGAATGTCAGAGAGTCTGTGACCCAAAAGAGGCCAAGGTCCTGGCCTAACCCTTCCCTGTGCATCTTCCTTTGTTTCCAGGTGGAAAGCAGTGACACACCCAAGGACTCTGCGGCCACTTCCAAGTCCCTGTCCATGGCCCAGGACTCTGGCCCTGCAGAGTTGTTACCCAATGGGGACTTGGAGAAGCGGAGTGAGCCCCAGCCTGAGGAAGGGAGCCCCGCTGGTGGACAGAAGGGCGGGGCCCCAGCCGAGGGAGAGGGTGCAGCTGAGTCCCCTCCTGAAGCCTCCAGAGCAGTGGAGAATGGCTGCTGTGCACCCAAGGAGGGCCGGGGAGCCTCTGCAGAAGAGGGTGAGTCTGTTCTGGGCCCACTGATCCCCTGAGGGCCAAGACCAGTTCCCTGGCAGATAGGTCCCAGCAGGATGGGCCAGGGTGGGAGATGGGGCTCTGCTTGCCAAGCTGTGGCCTGCAGACTGCTGGCTGAATGCAGCGGCCACACATGGCTTATTTGGCCCACACAGTGCTTTAAACATTTAAAAAATTAGTTACCAGTATTTAAAAATCAAGAAACTTCACATAAAAATCTGGAGTTTTGGCTTTTCATGGGAAGGAAAAAAAAAAAAAGCTAGATTTGGCATCAGTGGGTTTGCACAATGCCAAGGGTGGCTAGACGAGAATAATGGGCATCCCCCTTCCTGCTCGGTTGGCCAGGTGCCTCAGTTTCCCTTAGCCCCCACCTGGCCTGCTTACTCTTCCACATGACTGGCAGCTCTTGGGGACTGCCATGTGTGTGTGTATTCACCCTGACCTGAGAATGTGAGTGCAACAGATAGCCTATTTGCCTCCCCTAGCACAGAGCTCCTGATCCCCACCCCACTCCCACCCCCGACACTACCACAGTCTGGTTGATTCCATTGGAAAATTGGTTGTGGCAATGGGGTGTGGGAGAGGGCAGGGTGGGGGAGGGGTGGCTCTGTGCACTGCCCAGCCAGCCTAGGCTTCTTCATCTGGGGACTTTCTGGCCTCGCTCGTCCTGGATTTCTGGAATGTTGCCCACTTTTCTCTTTCAGGTTAAGCCAGAGATTTCAGGGCCAACCGAGCTGTAAACAAGTTAGTAATGAGGACAACTAGCATTTGTGTGGGGCTTCACAGCTTACACTGCACTTCCTCAGACATTATCACATTTGCTCCTCCCAGGGCCCTGCCAGGTTGTTTTGCATATGTGCATTTTAATTTCAAAAAGTCTTCCTTCCAAGTGTGTCTGATGGAATGAGTAAATTGATTAATTGGCTTAACTTACTTTGCATGCATCCAAACCTAATATTTATGCAGAATGGAGAACATTTCCAGAAAAGAGATTTCCAAACTTATTTTAAAATATCTTTCATTTGCTATTCAACAAATATTTATGATGCTCCACTGTGTGCAAGGCACTTTCTGAGGCACTTTGCGTTTGTTGTTTTATTTACTACTCCAAACAGTTTCATTCAAGAGGTATTATTATCCCCATCCTAAGGGGGAAAATTGTGGCTGATAAAGTGCCTTGTTCGTGGCCCCCACGCCTGAGAGTGGCAGAGCCAGGATTTGCCGACTCTTGCTCTTCTGCTTCCCGTTCTCTGCTGTTCTGGAATGGGGCTTGTCATAGGTGGTTCCCACACTGCCCAGGCCTCCCAATGTCTATCTCATACTTTGTGGGAGGGTTGGGGGAGCCTGGGGAGAGTGAAAAGGAGGGAAGGGAGAGAGACACCCTTTCTCCGGTTCTCAGTGCAGAGGTGCAGGAGGAGACAGCCAGCAGCCCTTCCCAAGCAGATGTGGTGGCTCCACTTCTAGGTCACTGGGATCACACCAGGATGGGCGGCATGCTGCTGCCCAGGGCTGGGCCAGCCCCTCCTGCCAGCGATGAGATAGAGCTCCAAGGCTGCTCTTTAGCCTTAAGGGTTTGTCTTCACTTTGGGGTCTCCCTGTTGGCATTTCTAGTTCTTCTCTGGAGCTCCTTCAGTCAGCCAACAGGTGTTCATTAAACTGTTTAGAATGTACCAGGACCTGTGCTGGTCAGGGAAGTTATCATGAACAAAAGCCTGGTTCTTGTCCCCAAGGACATCACAGTGGGCCAAGGGACTACACCCTTTAAAATGTGTGGAAAGTAATGCTGTAAGGGTAAGGAAACCTGGTGCCCTGAGGAGCTATGACAAAGGAATCTAAAGTGGCCCAGGTTGTCCTGTGTAAGCTGAAGGATGAGCTAGAGTCTAATGGGCGAGGGCTGATAGAGTCAGAGTGAGTACATCCCTGTTCCCAGGTGCACTCCCAGGTGGGAAGAAGCAGGGCACCCCAGGATCTGACAGAAGCCACCAATCTGGAGTGAACAGAGCCAGGGGAAAGAGTAAGAGGCAGTGGGCGGCAGATGTCAGACTAGGCAGGCCTCTCAAGAGTGACCCAAGAGGCTCTGCAGTTTGAAAAGATCACTTTGCTGCCTGGACCCCCAGTGGAGGGAAGTGTCTGGGAAGGAGGTTAGGAGGCAGCTGCAGGCATTGAAGGGAAGCTGTTTGGCTCTGATGAGAGAGGGGGGAGGTGATGAAAGCCAGTAATGTGAGAGGTAAGGGAATATTAAGGACTATTCCTTATTCCTAGGCTGGGGCTTTCAGACATGGAGGATTTCATCAGAATCTTAATGCTAGAATGGATGGTGGCACAAGTGCTGGACATCTCCACCTCCAAAATTTGACCTTGGGGTACTTCTGAGTGGCTTCAGCTATCCAGGAAGTGGAAATGTTGGTAGGGATCAGAGCCATGGCATCCCCAGAGGCCACTGCAGAGCAGCCAGAATGCTGAGATTGGTGAGGCATTACCGAGAGGGGTAGGAAGTGGCCTCCTGGAGGCTCTGCCAGCGGGCAGTGGGTGTGCAGGCCTCCCCTGGTCCAGCAGTCAGATGACCCAGAGCACACTCAGCTGGTAGGTTCAGATGAGGAAGGAGATTAAGGCCCCAGGGAGGAAGTGACTCAGCCATGGTCTCCTTTCAGTTCCCCTCGTTCCAGGAGTCCCACCCATCTCTCCTGGTACCCCTTTTATTAGTTCCTATACAGCAAAAAATGGAAGACTTTAGGCAGTATTCCAGCAGATCCCGAGAGCAAGGATCATGGATCCTGAGAGTAAGGCCAGGAGAAAGAATCGGGAAGAGGTGAAATGATGAGATGAGCAATGAGGTCAAGAGCCTGCCACCCGCAGGCCCTGTGACTGTACCTGCACTCCTGGCATTGATGCCACAGAGGATCCTAATGACAAGGGAACATTCTGTCCATCACCAAGCTGATGTTGATGTGCTTTTCTACCTTACTATTCAGTGTTCCACAACCAGCAGTGTCAGCATTGCTTGGGGAGCTAAAATGAAGGATCTCACGCTCTACCTCAGACCTACTAAAGCAGGCTCTACATCTGAAGAGATCCTCAGATCTATGCATAGTAAAGTCTGAGAAGCCCTGATTTTTTTTCTTTGCAGTATTGGGGATAGAACCCAGGGCCTCATGCATGCTAGGCAAACACTCTACCACTGAGCTGTATCCCCATCCCTTTTTAAATTTTTATTTTATTTTGAGCCAGGGTCACTAAGTTGCCCAGGCTGGTTGACTTGCAATCCTCCTGCCTCAGCCTCTGAGTAGCTGGGATTACAGGCATGTGCCAGCACCCTATTCTTATATTGTATTTTTGTGAGCATGTTGGAAGATTCTTATTATCCACATTTTACAGATGGGGGACTAAGGGATTCAGAAAGGTTAAAATACCCAAGATTATGTAACTATAAAAGGACCAGATTAGGGTCAGCACAAAGCTTCTCTCTGGTCAGACAGAGCATGGGGCCCAATACTGGCCTAGTGACTGCTCTGAGTAAACCTGGGCTCAGCCCTGTCATGGGGATTTGGGTTCATTTCAAAGAGAACTTAGGGTGACCAGGCTGAGCATAGCCTCAGAAACCACAGGTAAGTATTAGAAGCCCCTGGCCTCCCCTGTTCCCAGGACCTGAGATGCCCGGTGGTGGGGGGGGGGGTCATGTTCCAGTCTGCCAGGGCCACCCTGGAAGGCGCACAGCCACCTGCCCTGCCTGGGACCCTGGGACTGGGCCAGGAGCAGATGGGCTGCAGAGGGAGCGCTGGGAGAGCAGCCGACTGCCTGCCTCATCACAAGTGCCGCATTCTGAGGCAGCCCGGTGGTTGTTTGCTGGGCCAGGCTGGAAAGTGTGTGTGTGTGTGTGTGTGTGTGTGTGTGAGAGAGAGAGAGAGAGAGAGAGAGAGAGAGAGCCGACAGAGCAAGCGCTCGCTGAGAGAGCGAGGGAGAGAGGGAGAGTGAGAGAGAGGGAGGGAGAGGCATGCGGGGAGATCAGTCAAGTGGGCATGCGCAGTCTGTCAGGGAGAAAATTCCAGAAAGAAGCCAGTTGGAAACTGCATAAGGAAAAGTTATTCTGTTTGGGGGAACTTGTGGACTGGAAATCAGGAAGGGGGGTACCTCAAGAAATAAAATTAGTGGTTCATTGGAAAGGGAACTGGTTTAGGAGTTAGGAACCCTGAAATCTGACCACAGCTCTGGCTGTAAGTCGCTCCACTTCCCAGGCCTCAGTTTCTTATTTCTTCATTTAAAAATTTAGGGGTTGGACTCAAACATCTCTACAATTCATTTCAGCCCTGATTTTCTTCCATTCTGATGAATAAATGTTTCTCCGTAAATGTAATCACAAGCCATGGAGGGTCCCAGGTAGGAAATGTTTAGGGCCAAAGGGAGGCTGGGAGAGAATGCAGCTGAGGGCCTCGACTTCTGGGTCCCAGGGCCAGAGCGGGGGTCCCCACTACCAGCCCCCAGCCGCAGGGCTGACACGGTGGTGCGGTTGCGGCTCCACCTGGAGCCCGGTGGCTGGGCTGCTGTCGATCTAGAGCAGGCGCCCCCTGCTGGCAGCCCAGGGCCTGGCCGGCAGAGCGCGGAGGTCCGAGGGGGGCGGGGCCTTAGCCGGAGAGGAGGGGGCCCTGGGCTGGCGGAAGGGGAACCCCGCAAAAAGTTAGGGGGCTGGTTGTGGTGGGAGCCAGGACGTAAAGGAGGCAGGGAGGAAGAGACAGAGATGTGACGGATGAGACATACCTTAAAAGGCCGGTCACGTACACAGCGCCGCGAGTGCGCGCTCGCCCACCCACACACGTGCCGTGACAGACGCGGCTCTCCTCCCCCGCGCCGCCTCCACGCGCGCCGAGTGACAGGCGCCGCCGGGCCGCGGGCCCACGGGGCGGCAGGGTGGGCTGGCCCTTCCTGCCTCCCCCAGCTGTCACCCAGAAGAGAGCCTCTGGGGACAGACATGGCTGTCCTGGGCTCCGTGGGGCAGGTGCAGGGTGAGAGGGAGGGAAGCACCCCCGGGCTGAGGATCCAGAGCCTTAAACGCTGCGGGCTTCCGCTCCAGAGCCGGGGGATGAAGCAGGGGCTGTTTTTTCCGTTTTGGGCCCTTTGTCTCCTTCCACCACCACCCCACGCCCCCGGCCCGACAGCCTGTTTTAGTGACCTTCCTGCTTTGGCCCCAGCTCAACAGTCTCTTGGCTTTAGAGGAAGGAGTTCAGGGGCCCGGGCAACAGGGGGGCTCCCTCCCGGCCCCACTTCCCGCAGGAAGCTAGGGAAGGCTGTCACCCAAACCCACAGCCAGACCCTCTAAAACTGCCTGCTGTGCTGACCCTGAAAGGGCCTCTGAGGGGCGAGGACCATGGCAGAAGTGCAGGCGGCTGCCCTCTTCTGTGGCCTGGAGGGGCCCTGAAGAAGGGAGGATCCTTCTAAAGACAGGGGTTCAGGGGGCTTCTGCTCCCCCTGCCAGATGTCCCTTCAAAGAACTGGAATCAAGGCCCAGAACAGCCAGGGGTAGAGGAGCAGGGAGATGCTGCGTGCCAGGGAATGTCTTAGGGAAGGGGAACAACATTCACAGATTGAACACCTACTGTATACCAAGCTGGGCTCTAGGCTCGAGTTTCACTAAATTAATCATGTTAGAATGGTCAGAAGGTTATCCACTTTTTTTTCAGTAAAACCGGTCAGGAGAGGTTAGGGAGGTCACACTGGGAAAGTTGGAATCTAAAACCAAGAGTTGTAGATTACAAACTGAGCTCAGGGAACCCAGAATGGGAGGCAATGAAGACACAGGTAGATATTAATAACAGCACCACCATAGCTAGAACTCAGGGAGATCTTGGAAATCATCTCCAGCATCATTATACTCCAGATGAGGAGACTGAGAATCACAGACACAAGTTGCTTCACCAGGTCACACGTCCTCCTACCTGCAGGCACCTCTTCCTACTCTACACATAGAAGCAGACTCTCCCTTGCAGGGCCTCAGAAGGCAACCAGTCTGGGGCCCTCTCTACCTTCCTGTTCCCTGCTCTGGAAGGGAACTCTGTTGAATGTGAGCTGCACAGTGGAGATATTTTTAGGCCCCTTCTGTGTACCTGAGGCAGAATCAGTGGGCCAGAAATCACAGAACCAGCTTTTGTCTTTTATTTCTCAGTTCTGGGTAGTGAATGCAGGGGCTCATGCTAGTCTAGCACTTCACCATGAGCTACATTCCCAACTCTTTTTATTTTAAGACAGGGTCCCACTAAGTTACCTAAGTTGGCCTCAAATGTGAGAGATCCTCCTGCCTCAGCCTCCCAAGTAGCTACAGACATGTGCCACTACACCTGGCAATTTCTATTATTTCTGTATACTTTGTCCTTGAACTGGCCCCAGTTCTCTCTCTGTGCGCTAGGCCTTCCTCTGAGTCTGTGTGGCCAACATGGTTAACACCTGAATGACCAAATGCTATTCTCTGTGGCAGGCAGTGACCCCGGCTCTAGGTGCAACCTCTGAGCTACCCCTGTAATTCTGCCGACAGTCCCCTTGTTCTTCCCTTTCCACAGGCAAAGAACAGAAGGAGACCAACATCGAATCCATGAAAATGGAGGCAAGTGTTTTCCTCACCCCCAGGGGCTCTGTGGATCCTGATTCTAGAAGAAAGCCACCGCTCTGAGCGACTGTAGCGAGTGTGTGTGAGGGGATCCTGAGAGTGGGCCCCTGCTCTTTCTTTGACATCCCCCTGTGAGGAGGAGAGGAAATGGGGGTGGCAGCTGGAGGTTCCCCAGACATGCAGCCAGCACATCCTCCCCCTGTGGAGGAGCACTCTCCCTGTGGCCTTGTCTCTATGCCCCCACCTCCCACATCCCTCACTCTCTGGCCCAGACGGGGCTTGCCCGGCACTCCCTGGTTGCCCCCTCTGGCCAGCAGCCAGAATTCTCATATCTGTTTGAGGTGAGTGCCCCCTCAGTTCCTCTTCCAGGAGGGGCCCACAGGGGCAACAGTGCCCACCTTAATGCCTGTCTGTCTCTCTGCCGTCTCTCTGTCCTAGGGCTCCCGGGGCCGGCTGCGGGGTGGCTTGGGCTGGGAGTCCAGCCTCCGCCAGCGGCCCATGCCGCGGCTCACCTTCCAGGCTGGGGACCCCTACTACATCAGCAAGCGCAAGCGGGACGAGTGGCTGGCACGCTGGAAAAGGGAGGTGAGGTGCCTTCTGGCCTGAGCCCCCACCTGTCCCATGTACCTGTCCCCACCCTCTGGTCAAGCCTCCTTCCTCCTCAAGTTACCCCTAGAATTTCCAGGGAACTACTTGATCTCTAGGTAGTGACTGATTCATTTGTTCTTTGGACTAATGGTTATTAAGCACTTATGGTATACCAGGCAGTGTACTAGGCTGTGTGTGCGTATATGGTTTCTGCCTTCATGGAGTTGACATTCTGATGGGGGGGACGAGGAAACAAACAAGGGGCTCAAACAAGATAACAGAGGCCTGCTCTAGGTGGGGTGACCTCAGAGGAGGTTGCTTTTCACTTCAGCTCTAAAGGAACTGAAGAGTTGGGTCTGTGGGAAGTGGGGTGGGGGAGAATGTTCTGGACAGAGGAAATGGTACAAACGAGGAGGTGCTGGCTTTTTGGCAAACTGTTTGCCCAGAGGTGAGCAAGTGGGAAAATGGGGCCAGATGAGACTGGAGAGGAGCAGGCTCCAGTCATCCAGGCCTTGCAGATCCCAGCAAAAGCTGATGACTGACTGAACTGGGGAGTCATAGAAGGAACCTGTGCAGAGGAGTGAGTCGATGTGGATTCAAGTGGCAGCACTGGAGACAGAGGACAGACAGCTTTAGGTTGTTTTTTGGAACAGAATCAGTAGGGCTTGTTGACAGAAGGGAGGAATGGGGAACAGACCCGCAAGGCCACCTCTGGGGTCTGGCCCACAGACATGGCTGTGGTTAGGCCAGTTACTCTGGTAGGAGCACTAGGGGAGGAAGAGGTGTTGGCAGGTGGGATTTAGGGGTTCAGCATGAGTTGCGAGGTGCCTGAAAGCTGGGCTTAGGAAAGTACAGGCTGCAGGTATCAAGGTGGAGTCAAAAGAAACCTGGCATTTTAATCCATAGGAACCAAGGAGCTCACCTAGCAGAGAGGTGAGAAAGCGCAAGAATCCTGTCCAGGAACAGCAACCTCTGTGGGCCATGCAGAGAGGGGGAGGCGCCCAGGCAGAGGCCTGAGGGAGGGCTAGTGGTGAAGAGCAGGAAGGCCTGTGTCAGAAAGCAGAAGGCTCCTGGGGGAGTGGCTGGCCGCCCTGTGGCACTCAGCTCCTGGAGACTTGCCCACGCATGGGAAAGTCTAAGGGAGCTTGTCTGAGAGCAGCTTCTGTGGGGGAAGGTAGGAGGGTGTGGGGAGCGCACGAGGGCTTCAACCAGGAGAGCAGGTGAGGAAGTGGAGACCGGAAGACCAAGGAGGGAAGTCAGCCCGCCAAGCATAATTTGTTGCGTGGTTGTCTCCTGTGTTTGATGAGAAGAGAAAGTACAAAAAGAAAGGGCTGTGGGGTTGCTGAGAGGAAACTGCCACCACGTGGGGCATTTCACCTTAGCTCTCCATCATCTTGACCCCAGGCCATTTGCCATTGTGTGAGAGTTGGCTCTGGAGAAAGTTCCAAACAATGGGAGGGGGGGCCTGGCTCCTCAATTGTTCCCAATTCCTTTGGGATTCAGGAAGGCAGGAATTACTCCCCTGAAGGAGCCTGGGAAAAGGGCAGCAGCCTGCACCAGGTGGAGGAGAGGAGAGCCACCTAGCCCTGAGCGGCTCTGGGATGGGGATTCAGGAAGTAGACGCTCTTCCTCAGCTCTGGCTTCGCTCCTGGGACCCTGGGACTCAAACACAGGGGCTTTGGTTCTTGACCCATTTTATGCATTTTTTTTTTTTCTGTTCTCACTAAGCCCTGAGGCAGGAAATGTAGAGATTATGACTTTTAGACTTGGAAGAGCTTCTCAAACTGGGCTCCCTCAGTTACAATAATGAAAAGGGTTTTCTCAGCTCACAGGAATAAGGATAAATATATATATTTAAATTATAAGTTTTCTACTAAAAGTTAACACTTTTTTTCTTTTTCTTTCCTTTTTTATTAAGAACATTTGCTGGGCTGGGCACGGTGGCCTACACCTGTGATCCCAGTGTCTCAGGAAACTGAGGCAGAAGGATCACAAGTTCAAGGCCTCTGCAATTTAGCAAGGCCCAGTTTCAAAATTGAAAAGGGATGGGATGTAGCTCGGCAATAGAGTGCCCCTGAGTTCCATTCCCAGTACCACCAAAAAATAAATAGGTTTTGAAATAATAAATTTTTAAAAGCTCTACCACTATAGCTTAGTGGTAGAGCATCCCTGGGTTCAATCCCCAGTAACACCCCCCAAAAAAATTATTTTTCTAGTAAATCTGCTAAATTTTAGTATCAAAATAGATACTAAAATTTAGCAGATTTAACACCCCAACCAATAAAGGTGACAATGAACTTTAATCAAAAGTTTTACAAGTTCTTTAATTAATTAATTGATTGATTGATTAATTTTGTGGTGCTGTGTATTGAATCCAGGGCTTCATGCTTCACTCTACCACTGAGCTACATCCCCAGCCCTTTTTAATTTTTTTATTTTGAGACATGGTCTTGCTAAGTTGCCCAGGTTAACCTTAAACTTGTGATTGTCCTGCCTCAGCCTCCCTAGTAGCTGAGATAAAGGTATACACAATTGAAAATAATACAGGTCTCTGGGCTGGGGTTATTGTTTGCCTAGAATGTGCAAGGCCCTGGGTTCAATCCTCAGCACCACGTATAAATAAATAAATAGAATAAAGATATTGCGTTCAACTACAACTAAAAAAAATTAATATTTAAAAAAAATAAATATTTAAAAAAACAAATATTAAAAAAAATAAAATACTACAGGTCTCATAATGTGAGATCTCCAAACAAAATATCTTTTCTGCCAGTAAAATTGTTCTTTATTCCTATGCTATAATTAAAGATGTCATAAAGAATGCTGTAGTTTCCAGTCAGGTTCTAAAACTATTGATCCCCTCATTTTCAGATTAGGGGACTGGGCCAGAGAGTTATATGACTGGCCGCAGCTCACATAGCAAATGGGGATTGGGGTTGGCATGGAATTAGCATTTAGGTTTCCTGTTTCTTTGTGGGCCCAGCTCTGAATCCCAAACTGTCTTCCTGGGCTATCCAGGGGGGAGGGTAGGGTCAGCTGCAGGTAGCAAGAATGTTGGGGAAACACAGGTAGATTTAGGATGCTCAAACACCTCCCCCATCCTACGTACTCTGCCACACTAAAGAGCAGTTAACGGTTACTATCAGACCTGATTTCTAGGTGGTGCAGAAATCCATCTTCTTAGTCTCATTTTAGCTCTTCAGCATTTGACCCTTTCTTCTGAAACTGCCTTCCTGATGACCCTGCAGGTTCCCATCTCTTGGCAGCTACAGTTCCCAGCAGCATCCTCTGTACTTCCTAAACCACAGCAACCCAGACCTCTATGCCACCCTCTGCCAGTCTTGATCCACTTACCACTCATCTGGTCTCAGAGATCCAAATACCTACCCCTTCCCCAGAAAGATATCTCCCCTCCTGAGAAAACCCCCAGGCTCCAGGACTTAGCTACACCTATTTCTCTGGCACTGCCACTTCAAGGTGCAACCAGCATTTCCCAACCAGAGAGTGTAATACCACTTTTCAAAACTTCGGATGCCTGTAATTCCAGTGACTTTGGAGGCTAAGGCAGGAGGATTGCAAATTCAAGACCAGCCTCAGCAATTTAGCAAGACCCTATCTCAAAATAAAAAGGACTGGGGATGTAGCTCCCCACTAGTGGTAAAGTGCCCCTGGGTCCAATTCCTAATACAAAAACAAACCAAACAAACAAAACTTCCTTCAGGCATCTTTACTGAACCCATTCCCAGAACTCTTCCTGTCTGAGCACCATGTAAAATACTGGAAGCGTAGGAGGAGGGCTCAGGGTACCTGCAGAAAGTGTATTGTACTGAACAGGGGCTTTGACTGATTCTTCCAGGGGTCATCATGCATCAAAAAGAGACAGCTTTAGACTTTTTAAAGGATGAAACTGGGCTGGCCTAGTGGCAGTAATCCCAAAGACTTGGGAGGCCAAGGCAGGAGGACTGCAAGTTCAAGAGCAGCCTCAGCTATTTAGTGAGACCCTGTCTTAAAATGAAAAATTTAAAAAGTCCTGGGGAAGGACTGGGGATATAACTCCATGGTAGAGCACCCCTGAGTTCTATCCCTAGTACCAAAAAAAAAAAAAAAAAGTAAAAAGTATAGGGTGAACTGGAATTTGGGGAGTGGAGAGGAAAGGCATATCAGAAGAAGGTAAGCAGCAGGTGCAGAGGTCCCAAGGCTTCTAAGAGTGGAAGTTTGTTGTTGGAGGTTTGTGTTGGAATTCAGGGGGTGCTGGTGGAGCCCAACTGGGAATGTGGGAGCAGGTCAGGCCTGAAGGGCTTGTGTGCCCTGCTGGGGAGCTTCTACCAGACCCCAGCCTGCCTGTTCCCCTGGTCAGAATGCCACACCTGGGAGGCCCTCACTCAAAATCTCCCCTCCCCTCCCCTCTAGTTTAATTTCCTTTTCCCTTGACCTCCCTTGTCAATCAGACCACAGTTACTGAGCAAGGCTTACTCCTTTCTCTTCAGTCTACCCAAGCCAACCTACCGCCCAAGGCTTAAAAAACACTTAGAATACCACAAAATAAATCATGAAATTTAAAATAAGTAGGTGAGGAAAATATGACATTTTCTCCATCCCTCAGGCTGGGGATTCATGCAGGAACTAGGAAGCTGATGTCCTCTGTTTTGTCCCATGTCCTATTCCCTCCATCTGTTTACTAATCCTCTGCTTTAATCATGACCAGGACCTTCCTAGAACCCACAATGGCTCCCCATTGTGTCCACCATCCTGTCAGATAGCCTCTGACTATTTCTCATATTTTCAACCCAGTTACTTCCACCATTAACCCAGTGGTTTTAGCACTCCATTATAGCCTGTCGATGTTGTAACTCTCTCATTCATCTTTTTACCCCAACCAAGTTATCAATTACTTCAAGGCAGGGGTACCGTGTCCTACTGCTCTAAGACCTAGTCTCTTTCCTGGTTTCCAACCTGAAGGTCGGGACCCTCAACTCATGCATCCTTATGATAATTAG